CCCTCCAGCGTGTCGACCACACCACACATGAAGGAGCCGATCATTTTTAACATATGAATATATCAGTGCAGTATTTAAAGGTCTAATTGACATGTACATCTTTGCAGGTTTAGTCTTCCAATTCTCTGTTATCCCACTGTGACCTTATTTCCAAAGAAGTCAGGGGTAAAACTCCCACATCGGGGCTGCTAAAACAAGTTTGCAGTGATTTTATGCACTAATGCACTTCAAAGCATGTTGCCCATTAGGGTAAGTATTTACCTGACCTTTGCTCTAGTCAATAAAGCCTGATGCTTAACTTAATCTAAGCCATTATCTGCTTATGATAATAGCTTAACGTAGTACTTGAGAGCTGAGGTTTCAGTCCTGCAATCACATCAATAACTTGTGTTCCTGTAAGTATCCCCCCAAGAGAGCTCCTTGCACTTGTTCAATTAAATGATCAGACCCTTAATGAAGAAAGGACTTGTACTCTGATCTTCCAAACCCGTATACGCATGCCTATCTTGAAACCTGTATGATTAATTCATCCTTGTTAGTAAACGCTGCCAGGACAGAGGCCTCAGAGAATAAATGTGTATTGCCCGAGTATCAAAAACAGTGTCCCACCTTTTTATTCATGCACTTGAGAGACTGCTAAGCTGAAACAGAAGGGACATTAAGATTCTTATTTCATTTATTTTGCTTAATGAGTCACTGCAGAGTGCCTGACCTACTTCTGCAGTACAACTAATGAGGAAATGTTGGTTATACAGCTGATTTACTGTGAAACATCTTGGATTCATAGCCAATTAGACTTAAGAAAAGGAATAGGTGAGTTATGTTACCCTCAAATTGGGAACTTCTCAAACTTTTTATTAATTTCAGTAATGTTATGCTATGAAGTAGAGTCTACCGAGTGCATTTATCTAGTACATCTCATGCAACAGGTTTTAGAGAAAACAAATTTGTATTAAAAAAAATATCACTTTCTAAGCCTGCTTTCTTAATTCAGGGGCACGTTCAGGAGTGTCTCTTCAATTGCCTGTTCATTCATGGCTCTGGGGCAATAATCTGAGCTAAAGATAACATTTAATGACCAGAGTCCTCAATAAAGTAGTCAAGAGCATTCAACACCTTTTTTCTGAACTCTTTTGCTGCAAATGCTTGTTTAAATGTACACTGCTTAAGTAAAGTTAAATATAAACATATAAATGCAAATATATAAACATAAAATGTGTGAATATAAATATACAAACATAAATATAAAAATGTAAGTTCAAATACAAGCACAAGTATTCATAAACACAAATATATAAATGCACATAACATATACAAATACACAAAAATATAAATAAAGTCCTGAAAATGACATGTATCATTTCCTTCTACTGAGTTGCAGTGAAAACACGGCACCCAAGAAAGAAGATGCATTCAATGGAGAAACAGGCTTGGGGCTTCTTATCATTGAAGGGAAATAAATTAGTAAATTTAATTAATAGGCTCTGTGCCAGATCTGCCAGAACAGTGACTCTGCTGATTTCAATGGAGCTATAGTGTCAGACGGAGTGCAAACAGCCTACAGGCTCTTACGGCCCGCTCTGAGCCTTCCCTCCTTGATGCACGTATCTGGAATACCTCTGAGAGCTCAACACATGCTCACATTTACGAGGCCAAAGCTGGCAATTCAGTATTTCCCCTTCTTCTAAAAAGGGATTTATTTTTTTTTTTTTTGTAGCTGTGCTCTTCCCCACTGACCGGAGTGATCAGGAGGGATCACAAAAACACAGGCACAAACAGAAGCCTGTGGGGAGGTGTGTGATTTCCTCTTGCCCTTGTTAACTCCTAACGTAGGAAATAACCGTGCAGTGTCGACAGCCACCTGACAGCACGCTGGCAGAGCACCATTCTACACTGTGGGAGCCTCCCTCCCGTGCTCCCCGCTGTGGACAGTTCACTCACCTGGTGCCCCCGTGTACATGATGGAAAACACGTTAATAGCTATGGTAGCAGCATAAAACACTGGAAGTGCACGGAGACCATTGGGCACAGGGTCTTCCTGCATAGAAATCAGGGAAAAAAGGAAACGTTAGCTGGATTTCCCACCAGATTAATGTCAGCATGAACTGCCATGAGGAAAACACGTGCTCCTGAGTCAGTGCCAGGTACATGGAGCTTTTGGGTGGATGGTGAGGAAAAGATGGTGACCTGTCTGGTTACATGTGAATCCACAACGCTGGTCCTGACAAGCACCGGCGTTCTGGGGAAGCTTGACACTGTTAATGGGAACCAGGGAGACAGGTTGTACTTTCAGGTCAGCTGCAGACCTGCTGGGTGACCTGGGGGCAGGTTTCTTTCTGCAAGTGTTTTCTTACCTAACTTGTCTCCAGGATGAGGAGTTGTCTTTCACTCGGCATGACTGAAGGGTGCTGAGCAGGACAGGGCTTTGATATTTTTGGGGTGAGGCTACCAGCATCAGTGCAACACATCCATCGCAAAACCTTACTCCTAACCTCTCAGTTTCGACTGAGACAGCCTGGCACCTTCCACCGGCTAACAGAAGTCTCTGAAACATTAAGTGTCTGGCTGTATTAAACAGGTAACATACATAAAGCGAGCGTGCAATGTTTAGCACGCCGCTGTGCCGGCTGCCCACCACGATCTCGTGCCCTTGGCGCTCACGAGGAAAGGCTCAGCTGGGGGTGCAGTGGAAACGCACGGTGCGAGCCATGGAAAAAGCCTTTGTGAGGAGACTGCTTTGGCCTTTTGAGGGGCTCCGCGTGTTTGCAAAGAGCCTGCGCGAAGCTAAGGGCTGGCTAATGTGGTTTTGTTTCTTGGGGCCATGAGCTATAAAAGGGAGCCGAGAGAAGACTGTGGCCGCTCTGCGCGATGTCCCAGTCCCAAAGCGTGATGCAGCACAGGCTGCATCCGCAGGGCCAGCTGCTATTCAGACACCCCCAATGAGGGCATGAACCCCTACACCAGACCACGGACTCACAAACTAAAAAGCTGCTCTTTTTTATGCACGCGCACAATGCAAGTTGTTACCTGCTTATACCTGCAGAAGCTCTATAAATCTTAACACTTTGTGGATGGCACAGATGGCAGTCAGAAGTCCATTTCCTTAGCTTGAACTTTTTCTTCTTCTTGAATGCTTAAATATGAAGCTTTTATACCACAGTTCATGTGATTTTGATGACTAATTTCTTAAGTTGTTAGGTTTTGAATGCAATACAGGAATTTTTCCTCATCCTTTATGCAACTTGAGCAATTTTAAATTCAAAGCTGCGTCCGATGAAATTTATCATCTGCTTTTATCGCTGACATTTATTTACATCAGAAATAAAGAATGATGAAGCTGAGGTTACAGGTGGTGTTATTTATAGCAAAAGAATTAATCCCTCATCTATTTAAGTTCTCTGTATAACTGCTAATATAGTGTCCCTTATTTTAGGTCATTGTCATGCGCTGCACTCCCCCATTTTAGCAACTTGACTGGTGTGAGAGAAATGGAAAGAGCAGATAAAAGCATTCTGGTTTCCAGTTCATGCTGGGTGGCAGGCAAATCATCTTCCGCACTGGAAAGATATAGACTGATGTTACCTCAAAGCTGCCACTTTTGACTGAGGTCACTAAACCCCATCGATTCAGGTTTTCTGAGAATCTAGGAAATATGCAGATGCCCATCTTCTAATGTCTGATGTGCTCGAAATCCAAAGCTTAAAATTTCGCAACTGCAAAATACCAATTAGAGTATCTCCAAGGGAGGACTGTTCTGTCTGAGTAACAGTCAGAACGGCTATTGTGAGGCTAAGTCAATGCCATCAAGTTTGTACTAATACAGAAGCAATCTCAACGTACCATCCTTTAATCAAACAGAATATACAATATTAATTATCATGTAGCACCTTCTAAGCCTCAAATACTTGTCAAATTACTTACTCTGAGCTTTCAGAACCGCTGAAAGAGCAAGTACAGTTCCAATGGCTATAAAAAAAAAAGACTGGTCTCCTGTGCAAAAAGCAAGCCACAAACTTTTAACTCTGGAAATGCCAGCACTCAAATGGGAGGCTAGAACACAGCTTTCATACTGAGCACTCATTACAATAGTGAGATTTCTTTACCTTGTTTAAAATGAAGAATCTAATCAGCACAAACAGGATTCCAGACATCAAGCCAGATAACAGTGGGGAGATAAACCAAGAGGCAACTGTGTTAAAGAAAAGAAAGAATGAAACATGAAATAAACAGTATTTTTGCATAATAGTTAATGAGCAATAAATTTAAAACAGTTCTTGTACAACTAGAATGAACGTTCCATATATTTACTCACAACTGGTGCAACTCCATGTCCACTGACACTCATGAAAGTCAAAGTAATGCTAGGCACAATTAGAAACATCAGCCAAAACATTTCCTGATAATTTTGCAAGTTTAGCAATCAAATTCATCAGGAAAGTTTCTTGTAGCTTGATGCAAAGTGGACCAGGAAGGCCCTGTAGTTTCCTAACCACCACGAATGTTGCAACCAAGTGGAAAGCAACTGCACCTAGCAGGATGCCACACTGCTCGCAGGGTAGAAGTCTTGATTTCCAAAATGCTATAGAATGAATGTAATGAATAATGCACGTACATTTTTTGCAGGCCAGATTTGCCAGTGTCCAGGACTGATTTAACTGAAGTAGGTGACAAAACTCCCACTGATCTCAATAAAACTGGATTAGGGCAGCGCTCTGGAAATCTCATCCAGAGTGATTTATTGTTTGCGGCATGGTTAACAGATTGATTCTGCTGCCATTGCAAACTCTCTTCTACTTTTGACAGAATTAAAAAAAGATACGCATGGCTCCAACTTCTCTGAAGCTCAATTGTATTTCCGCGCCTTCAGCATCAAATCCTTTTAATACAGGGTTTAGGCTGCGACTTGGGTTACAAGGCTTCCAAAACAATAATGAAAACTCCTTCACATCCCTGTTTGGCTGTGCTGATCTTGGCAGTGGGAGGCTGTGAGTTAAGCATGTGCTGTATGCCCAGCTTTCGCCTCCCTGAAGCTGGTGGGTGGAGAAACATGACTGTGGGCATTCACATGATGGCTAGCATCGTCAAGAGCTACGACGAGGTGGTATGAGCTGCCACGAAAAGAATTAGAAGAGGAGGAATGTCACCTTGAAGCATGTCTCTGAGGGACAATGTCTCCTCAGCTTACTGTTGGGGAAGCGCAACTTGCATCTTACCCCTTTCTCCACTGGAGACACACCACAGCCCTTAATGAACGCAGCATCAGTGCATCTTCTGAATGATAGGACTAGGGGGGAAAATAATTTAAGGAGGGAGTGCTATCAGCACAAATCAGATTTCTGGGAATGTTTTTTGCAGGCAGTGTAGACTATTTCACATACCCTCATGCGTAAAAGGAAACAGCACTTACCGATCTTGACAAGCTGCATCCACTGGACTCCCTGCGTGCCAATTGCCACCAGAGAAAATCCAATCGTAGCACCTACGATGCAATGGGTCCCTGATATCGGGAGTTTCAAGAATGACGCAATCAGCTGCCAAACAGCAGAACCTAGAAAAAACCCCAACCATAGGGTATAAACAACAACAGTAACAATAATGTCACACAGAAAATTCTTTGCCATGTACCCACATTCTTTTACAAGCGCTGCCTACACTCCTCATGCACGACAGAGATCTAAAGAGAGTTTTGTTCCTGTTCTGTCTCCAAAAGCAGATACTAAGACAGTTTAATAGCAGCTTTGAATGCTGCATCTTACTTATGACTTTTTATTACTAACAGCTCTTTACACTGCACAACAGTGCTGCTTTTTTTTTTTTTTTTCTGAAAGCTTTCAGTATTTTCAGCCTGTCTGATTAAATACATAAACTGCTCCCAGTCTGCATCAAGCTTAGAAAACCTCCTTCTTGAGAGCTGAACCTGGAAGCCTCCAAGTGATCAGTGTGAGGAGGCATCCACTGTTTCACTATTGAACTACCCATGCTCCTAAATTCAGATGCTACCAGAGAAAGGCTGAAATTGTGGGGCAGGGAGTTTTTATGCCTCTTCTCAGTGATGTGCGGCCATCCTGAGTCCTCTATAGGAAAAATGGACTGAAGAGGGAATAAGGACTCTCTCACTGCCTTCATTTGCAGCTCATTGTGGCACTGGAGGAATTCAGAACTGCAGAAAAGGCTTATATTAGTCACGAAGTAGCCAAAGATAACTTTGGCACAAGGAAGTAAGATTCTCTAACTAACTAAGGGATGGTGGCTAATAGTCTATAAAGTAAATGCAATGTCTGGTATCCCAACAGATGTCCCAAGGAAAGATGTTTGCCAAGAGAAGAAAGAAAGGAGGAAAGAAAGGAGGAAAGAAAGACCCAAATCATGAGACAGTTAGATCAGAGCACAGTTAGCCACCAAGCCCTCGAGCACGCAGCTCCATGCTCCAGCTCATTTTCATGTTGCAAGGACCCAGGTTCCCTGCTCCCCTTGTAGAGGTGCTAACCTCAGGACACCAGAATTGTTTTGGCAGTGACACAAGCTTTATGTGGATCTCGCCTAATATTAGAAAATTCTTAGAAAGAGCTCTTCTTCATCTTAAGACTTCATGGCCTTAAGAGACTAAATCTTCATGTGTTAAGAGGCCCCAATGGCAGCAATCGAACTGCCATGAGAGATCCCATATTTTCTGGCCCATGCCACCCTCCTTAACAGATCTGCAGCAGACACAGGTGATAAAGGAAGGTCGCTGAACATATGCTGTTACTCAAAATCTCAGCCTCTGTCCTCAGTTCCAACAGGAGAGGATGGTTTGACGGTGTTGACATGAAGCCATCTGCAAATGGTGATTTGCTGGCTGGCATCATACGTGGCTACGTTTGGAAGTCAAACAGTTTGTAAAACTGATCTCTCCTGGGGTACTCCTATTGCTATTGGAAATTCTAGATTAAACAAGGAACACCTGCTCTTCAATTTTTTGGCTTCTCTTCCCCTGTACTAAAATAAAAATAAATACACTTTGAAACCTTTGACGTGAACTTAAGAGACTACAAGTGGAAGTGAGGTGAAAGAGAAAACAGATGGTAACATCTGTAAAGAGCCAAATAAACAGATAAGCTAGCCACAGATATCTAATTACGAAATACTCAGTCTAAAAGATAGGGAAAATGCAACCAAGCCACAGCTGCACTGCAAATGTGTAGTGAGGGCTGGGTTTTTTGTTAGGGGGGAAATAGAGGGAGTACAGCACTATTTCTTATTTATTCAACTTCACCTTGAAAACAAACAGGAGAGCAAGAGGGAAAGTGGTGGAGGACTGATGGATAGTCTGAGAAGGACAATGTGTGGTCTAAAGAAATTTAAGGAAGCACATTAAGGAACAGAAGAAAATACAAGTCAAGCCAGAGCAGGACTTTCCTCTGGGGCTTGCAATGCCTTAACTACCTACACCAAAGCTTCAACTCCCAGAGACATTGTAAGTGCCTCATCCCTGGAAGTGTTCAAGGCCAGGTTGGATGAGGCTTTGGGCAACCTGGTCTAGTGGAGGGTGTCCCTGCCCATGGCAGGGGGGTTGGAACTAGATGATCTTTGAGGACCCTTCCAACCCAAACCATTCTATGATTCTATGAACATAAAATGCATGTTCCCAATTTTTATCTTTGCAAAACTAACCTAGGAGGCAGGAGGACCACTAGACCTGTCACAGAGTCCCAAATTCAGACTCTTTGCACCTGCTGACATCGTGGCTGTACACCCTTTCCTCCCGGTTGCTATTTCCTAAAGAAAGAGAGGTGGCTGCGGACTGCCCTGACCAAGAGTCGCCAATGCCGGCTTTTGTACTGTGCTTTGCTTATCCTGGCCAGGATGTCCTCTCTGTCGGCGGCACCTCCTCGGTCACACCAGCTGCTGATTTCAGCTCCCACCAGGACCACTAGAACAACACTTGGGTAATTCCTGACAGTAACCTGACAATTAGTTAATCCTAGGGAAGTACTACAATTTACAAGAGCAACAGTTCATAACTTCCCAACTGCCCAGCAAACAACATTTTAATATGCTACAAATTATTACAAAATGTTACATTTTAAAAGTTTAATCCCAGTACTCCCTGCTTCCTTCTCTCTTCAGAGAGAAGGTTGCCCTGAAAATCACCATCTGCTGTTTGCTGCAAGCATCAAAGGATCTTCCAGCAACATCTGGAAAGAGGATACAATGACTTTTGGTCTCTCCCAGCCTGTTGACTTATTTAAGCCTCATCAAAATTCAGAAGCTAAGTCCATTTGCAAAAACATGATCATGAGGCATGAGAGAACAGGGGGAGAAAATGCAGAGCAAAAACAGAAAGAGGAAAAGAAAACATGCAGGAAGGCTCAGAAAAAACACAGAAAAAAATATCATGCATCCAGAGAAAAGCTGGAAATGGATTTGAGGAAAAAAAAAAAAGGAAATCTGCAGTTCGTAACTTGTGATTAATTCTGAGATTTAAGATGTGGAATTTCTTCTTAATGCCCTTACTGGAGGAAGGGAATGCAACTGGTCATGAAGTTCACACAGGCTTATGTAAATACACATGCAAATCAGTTGTTTTCTTTGAGCTTCTGACCAGTTGCCTCCACAGGGCGCATCTGAGACTTAAAACTTTGTCGGGCCAGGATCAGGATGCCATAAATAGATACAGAAAAGGAAAAGGACCTTTCCTTCAATGGGGACTGTGAGTATCAAGAACGTGAAGGTCGGAAGATGCAGGTCACATTTCAGACAGTGTACGCTGCTCTCGGGCACACGCCCGTGGGAAACGATGGAGCTTATCTCAGGAAACAGAAGGCTAAATGATGCAAGTGGAGTGGTACTGAGAAGCCACCCTACAGCTTGAGGGAAAGACCAGAAATCTGCAGCTGACCTTGCGAGACATCGGTAAAGAGGAACTGACGTGGGGTGCCCAAGAGCATTTGATGTGGTTTAAGTTGGCAGCCTCACAGAGGGACCATTTGGGGAAGTGGCTGCGGTCCCAGCAGCAATTTCTCACTAACCAACCTCTCTTCTCCTTGGGCAGGGGAAGGTGGTCAACCTTCAGGAGGCTCAGGAGCTGCAAAAGCCCAAGAAAACCACCTCCTTGCTCTCAAGCACATAAATCCACCTCAGACAAGTCCAGAAACCAGCACTTAATGTCTATTTTGATCCATTAAAATTAAGAAAAAAAAAAAAGCGTGCAAAATTTTCCCATTTTCCCAAAGAAATGGGAAAATAACTGCATGTAGTAGACCTCGCACAGATTCACCTATCTCACGAGCAGGTCCTGCCTGAAAACTGTGGGGAGGCTAGAGAAGGTAGGTGGAAATAACATTTAGGTTAGATTTAAGGAGGTTTCAGGAAGAAAAAATTTGAGTGGAGCATCCCTTTCAAATGGAGGATGCTGCGACACTCGTATAAACCACACAGCCCTGGCGTAGGATGCCACGGACCTGCCAGACTGAAGAAGCGGTGCTGGGATGGACAGGCTGACCCCTTGCCTGGGCTGCCTCTCCCCCAGTGAAAGGGGTTCCTTCCTGCTGCCTCCTGCCCTTTAAAAGCAGGTTTGCTATTGATCCTTGAGGGAACTCTCCGAAAGCTCACAAAGCCTCTTGCATATAAACAAAGAGTAAATACCACGGCTTAATGTTACTTACCTCAGAATATGCTATTTGTTCTAAACGGAGATTAATTTAACTGCAAGCAAAAGAACACGGAGCAGACTCTAAGGTATGCTGAACTGCTTTCAGGTTGAGTTAGAAAAATTAAAGACACCTTAAACGTGTGACCATCTATCTTTACTGCTCCTTTGGTTTTGCTATGGGCAAGGGCGAAGCGTATGACTAATTGCAATCACTCTGCTAGACAATCAGTTTAAGCAAACATGCTTGGATTTTCTGTAATTTTTTAAACGATTTAGTTAATTCCTTCTTGTACACATTCATTGCAAACTGTAGGATCTTCTGTACAGTCACAAATGCCATGCTTACGTATTTTCCATGTACCATCATAAAAACCTCCAAAATAATTTTTTCTGTACCCTATGAATACATATATATGATCCATTACATTAAACTTTTTTTCTATTAGTTAAATGGCTGAACGATTGAAAAACGTAAATGATTAGAAGCATTTAAAAAAACATAGTAGACTAAAAAAGGAATACAGGCCCCTGCATTCACACAAAACCAGATGTGCAAGTCCAGAAGATGGGAAGACTTAATTAACAATATTCACAATGAACAGGATGACGAATACACAACGAATGTTACTTGGAAAAGGAAAGTATTACTTACCAACCATTGCACTCACTTCTCCTGCCATCAGCAGTGGGACAGTGTTGTTGTACAGGTTAACATCAATGATACCTTTCCGAATTGTTTCTCCGACTTTTGCTCCCAGTAATACTGAGCCAGTGGTTTCAAAAACTGAAGCCAAAATGCAAGCCTGGCGTAAAGTAACGACACCAGAGCCCACAGCCGTTCCGAAAGAATTGGCAACATCATTTGCACCAACCGAAAAGGCTAAAATAAAAGCAATGATAAAACCCACAATGACCATCCACAGGTACCCATCCATTGCCATCTTTCCCCAAACCGTAGATTAGCTTCCCCTTTGCAAATAGTTAATAGTCAAGGCTGGAGGGCACCGCAACGGATTTGGAAAGCAGATTTCTTGTAAACAATGAGTTCTCTCTGGAAAGTGCTGGGTAGTGTTAGAATGTGAAGAAACTGCTAACTGCTGATTTTCAAACTACTATAAATACTGTTCATTTGGCTGCCTTCGGTCAGCAGTGAAACACATTCCATATTTTGCTCCCAAACCGGTACAACTGCGATGTTCTGTCCTGCAACAGAAAAAAAAAAAAAGAAAATAAAAGAATTTTTTTTAAAAAAAAAGGGAATACTCAGAGGAGCCCATAACAATGCGCGTTTTCAGAAGTAAACAGATGATTTAAACCCCCTAATGGGGTCCTACCTCGGCATGTGACTGTTCTAATCATAAAGCAATTCAGAAAAGGTTAAAATCAGGTCACTTCCAAAGCAATATGTTTCTTGCAATATCACTGACCGAGAAAATCTTTTGAGCAATTTAAAAGGATTTAGAAAGGGGTGGGGGTGGGGGGCGTTGTTTGTGTTGAATTTAGCGAGGGGTGCGATAAGCCCTTTTTCTAGGAGGATTCTACTTGGCTCTTTGCACCCAGTGAATATAAGACATGTAGAATATATAGACCATACCATACAGCCTGCTTCCCAGCTGATGTATATCACCTAGGTCCACCGACCTCAGCAGAGCTGTCAACATCTTATCAGCTGCAGCCAGGGATGCACTCCTCTGAAAAAATGATTTCATCTCTATGTCTGTCTAGGAAATGCCACTGAAAATACTCTGAAGAGCATTAATATTCATCTATTGCTGTTATCACATCCCATGCAGGAAGAATATAATTTTCTTACAGCTTCTCAGTCACTGAAACAGCACAATAATCGCAATAGTCCCGTGTATCCCTGCAGATCTAGGGAAGTCTATAAAGAAAGTTTAACTAAAAAGTTGAGCTCTCTGCATTTTCCAATAGATGGTTACCAATTACTAACAGTTGTTGAATTCAAACCATTGTTATAGATATCTTTTAGTATTTCTTTTGATAGTTTCAGTTTTATGATCGCCTTTTGAATTACATCTTAATTAGTCCTTAATTAGTCTGATCTGAAAAAGAGAGTGAGCTCTTTCAAACCAAAAAATGGACAGAGAGAAAAGGACTTTAAAAAATAAAACCTTCACCATCCAAGGGACTGCTAAGCAGAGCAATAAGGCCCACACTGATGTCAAGATGGTGAAAAGCCAGAAGCAAATTTGCCCAAACCATCTGCCTCTTCTGAGGGCTGCTCCTCTTCTGCTAGCAGCTGCCACGAAGACGTTCCATGCTGCCCTCTGCTTTCCTATCCATGCCATTTGGCTCCAGAAAAGTGCGATTTTGGAGGTGGCAACGGGTTAAATGAACATTTAGCAGCAAATATCCATCAGCCAACTCCACACATTTTAAGAAGCATTTCAAGAGATCAGGGGATATCAGATGAAAAGCCCCGAGCCCACCTGCTGCTCTCTCTCAGTTTCCCAACAGTTGCTTCAGTCTCATACAATAGACCCACAGCCACAGTTTCAAGACCACGCTTAATTTCTTTCGATGACCCTAATGCAATGTAGGTCCTGTGGTAGCAAGGAGGAAGGGTCTCTGAAACCTCTGAAATACTGGCAAAATTATAAGAGATTTCACGTATTCCTGAGATGCTGGATCCTTGAGAACAACCAACAGGAAAATACGACATCTATACATAAGTGTTTCCTAGCAAACCCTTATGTTGATGTCAAGGATTGATGTTTTCTCTAAATATACATATTCAGGAGAAAAGATGTCCCTCTTTCTTTCTCCAGGCTCCAAACTGACTGAACAACTGTTGCTCCAGTCTTTTCCAGACATGGAGCAGACATCAATCCTTGAATGCCTTGCACTCTAAAATAACATCTTGGAAGGTCTTAATGGCTAAAAACATTTGTATAAGGATTTTTATACTATGAGATAACATGAGAAAATGTAGCACCAATGCATTTTTTATGTTCGAAGACTTGCTGCCTTTTCATAATTCATGAGCACTCAGCCCATTGAGTGGAAAAGGACTTGACAGAGACAGAAAAGGCTAACGGTATTTGGAAAAACAATTAGAGTTAGTACTTGTTTGCCTGTGAAGGAAGACAAAACTCCATTAACTTGAATCATTAAAAAATTTCTATTACGTATATCAGATTTTTGCTAGGAGATGAAGTGCTGGACTAGGGTCCTTCCTTGATCCTGGAGATTAATGATTAAATTCTTCACCCTGCATGGATTTACACAGTACCTTTGCCAAGTTAACCTCGGTGCCCCAGTTTCCTCTCCTGAAAATGGGCAAAGCTGACCGAGATCCATGCATGCATCCACAGACGCTGTGATTATATGAGACCCGTTTCCTTCGGACCCACAAGACAAAAGCACTTATTCCCAACAGAGATCTGTCTTTTCTCCACTTATCAACCAACCTACCAATTTACTGTGGTGACCCAATTTCTGGGGTAAGGAAGAGCAGGAGGATTGTGACATTCCCCCCACCGCAACAGAGTTCACGGGACGATGCTTGCCAAATCTGGCTCCTCCAGCCACAGTGAGTTCCTGCAGCTTCCAAAATAAACCACCAAGTCACAAGGTTGCCTTTATTAGCTTCCCTGGGAGGGGGGGAAGGGCGGTGGAGAAGAGCTCCAGATGGTCCCAAAGAAATTAAGACTTCAAGTGTGTGTATGTGTGCTCCTAAAACTCCTCATGAAGGCTGAAGAGCCTCCCGAAGTCTGTTGGCGGGGCTGTTGGCAAAGGGCCCGGAGAGGCAGATACATGATCTCCCTCCCTGTGAAATGGGATATACGGCCTTGGGAGAAAAGGATGTCTTAAGTAAGAAGTCACCCCTCCTGTCATTTTATGCAAGGTGATGGTTCAAAATAGAGCTCCCTCCAAAACTTGGGAGGCTCGACTTGACGTCCACTGCGTTTGCACAAGTGGCAGAGTACAGCAATGGCCAAGTCAAGTCTTTAACAAGATGAAAAGGAAAAGATGAAATGGAATAAACACATGTTTAGAAATAAACATGCAGGCAGCATTTGAACAGCTAGGTGTTATTACTTTTAACCTTAAATAACTGTAAGAGATGTTAAACGTTTAAAGAAAGAAACAAGGGAGAAAAAAAAAGGTACATCTCTGCTGAGAAAGTTTTCAGAAATGCAAAATATCCTGCAAAGTAGGCCAGTGACTAAATACAGACTAAATCTTGTAGCATGCTTCTTTCTAGAGCCCAAAATACATCTGGCATGCTCAGACACGCTGAGCTATGCCCCTCACCACCTAATCTAACCCAAGAACCTGTGGTATTTCAAGTTGTTACTGGGACAAAAAAGAAACTGGAAAAACTGCTGTGCAGTAGGGAATGGCAAATCTTCCGCTCTCTGCGTGACAGCTGGAAGTCACTACCGTGTGTCTCTCCTGCGCTCATTTATATTTCAACACGCCTCTATGCATGCCAAATGCAATTCAACCTGACCTGCTAGATGCCAGGAAATCCTCCCATTTTACCTGCGGGACCGATACCGCCTCTCCACCAAGGCCTCTGCAGTCAGGTGCTCTCCGCTACCCTGCAGATCCAGGGTGGAAAAGTTCATTTTCCTCTTTATGCTTTGGATAACTCTTCCTGAACTAGCCCAGCCTGCGTTGCAGCGGCCGTGCTGCAAACTCACCCTTGGGCATTAGCGGGGCAGAGGAACCGTGTTAGCACCAGGGGAGCTGCAGGACCCGAAGCTGGAGCGTGCTCTGACGGCTGTTAGAGCGAAGGGAAATGCATAGAGATGGAATTTCAAGTTGTAAGAAGCTAATTCTGCGTTAAGGCAAGATTTTTAGCTAATATAGTTTTCTTATGATCCATAATTAGAGTACCATACTTAGGAGGTCTGAGTTGAAGCTTTTAACTGTTTAAGTGGACTTAGAAACTTACAGAACTTGCACCTCAGTGAGAAAAATCTGATTTTTGGAAATGCTAAGCACGTCCCTCTGCCACACTGACAAATGATCCAGACACCCCCCTCGGACTTTATTTTGTTGCTAGCTAAACGTCTTGTTATAACTCTGTCAACACAAAGTGCTATTTCTTCCCTAAGGGAGAGATAAAAACAAAACCTAGGTAAGGAAGAGCCTTGATTCATGCAGAACGACAAGTGAATCCTCAGGAAAAAGTCAGGATCTCCTGGTAACCACAAGATCATTTTAGGACAAGTTTATATACAGACATTTAGTAAGACAGCTTTTCTGGAAACTATTCACAGCAAGCTTCTAAGCCTAGACAAGTTTTTAGTGAAAATAATCTGAAATTTTAAAAACAAAATTGGCAGTTGTTTTTTGCCAAATTGCTGTTAAAGAATGCAGAAACATCTAACAAGAGGGACAAACGGTTAAATAAAAGCTCAGGATGAAGATCAATGTCTAGGGGAGTGATCGGAGTGCATTATCCACCAGTAATCCAACTGTATGACATAAAGGAAACAGAGACCCCATAAATGTCCTTTAATCTTCTGTCCACAGAAAATTAGGGAAGAACCTACTGCACTCATGAAACATTGAAAGGTATATAAATCATACCATATGCAGTGCACACCCTATATAAATCATCCTATATGCAGCTCTTCTGCTCTCAGAAGTTGCCCCGTGCTGCAGTTGAAAACTTTCTGCTACTCTGGACAGGACAGAGATTCAGCGAGGTCCCGGTTGTAACTGTTCTGTTGTTGCCCAAGTATGAGCAAAAATCAAAAGACAGCAGCTAATGTAGCATTTCTCAAGATAACTCTTACAACTGCTCCACTTTGCATTATGACAAGAGAGATCAGGGAGGACGATTTCTTTTCCCCTGCAGAGTTGCAAACAGCAGACATTTCATGATAGACAGTGACATGGAATTTGTACTGACAGGCAGGTTCACTTCTAGTTACCAGTGGCTGAAAAGTCTGTCTAAAATGCTTACCAGACAGCAGCTTCTAGGAGGTTGTTCCATACCTCTCTCATTTCTGTATGTTGTTCTTTATAGAAAACCAATCTGTCAGGCTTCCCACCTATATATATAAACTCATAAGAGCTCTGGCATTCCGGTCCATCGGTACTAAACACAGCACTGCATAGAAACCAAAGCCTGATTTAGAACTAAAGCTACCAACATCGTTCACATCAATAGTCCTTATGTTTCCAGTTCGTCGGGCTCCAGTTCGCTGGGCCACAAGGCTCGCAAATTATCTACACTAAATTACTAATACTACACTTATGATATGAAAGGTAATATTAATTCAAGTGGTTCAAGACTAAGAACATCCCTATATGGCTCTAAATTACATGCACAGGACTTGTCACAAGGCCAAGCATGATGCAAGTATAATGCTCCGGTACACAAAAAGCACCCTCGGCTTTAAAAAAAAAAAATCAATTACTGCATCCACAGAAGCAGTTTTTATATCAATCAGTTCCTATTTTAATGCATTCGCAATGTGTTTAAGCATACTTCATGCTACTACTTGATATGGAAACAGGACTGAAGCTGATAGCTTTCCAAGGACTCCCATCCAGTTTAACATTGCAGAGAGGGACTGTTACCACCAGCTCCCAAAACTTCCAGAGGATGCATCCTTTTCTTAATCCTTATCAACTTCTGTTCCCACCATTGAAAGGTCAAAAATGCATATAAAATATTTAGCATGAGATTCTGTTGCTGAAAACAATAACTAAAAACACAGACAGCAGTCACGTTTAAACAGTAATTCTACAAACAAGTAAGATAGGTAAAGTATCAACAAGTCCTTGTGCCTTTGCTGATCAATAGCTTTTTCTCTAACTAAAGGACAATTTGATCCTTCAGTGACTGAACAAAGTCCTTCTAACAAGCAAGTGGTTTTTATGACACCACAGATTTTTAAGACCCATTCAGAGAAGACAAGTGTTCATGGTTACGGAAAACTTGTTTTATAAAAGAAAACCGTGCACAGAAATCTTTAAAACTCACCCAGTATTTAAAAGTTGTTTCAAAAGAAAAAAGAGCTAAGTTCTTCCAGCGACTTGCCCTCCTGATTGTAAATACAGGCTGAAGTCTAAAATAGACATCCTATCATTCAGCACAGTCACATCTGAACATGCAAACTTCCAGAGGGTAGAAAGAGGGCTATAACTTACAACAGGCAGTCCAGGGATAAAATTCACTCCAGCACAGGAGAGCACACAAGACAACACCGAGAAGCATCAATGTGAGTCCCGAGTCTTATTCAGTAGGTGAAAATCTGCCTCCTCTTAAGCAAAGAATTCTGCTGGGGGTGGGCACTGATAAAACACAACACTGCGTCACGACTGCACTAGTGAGACAAACCAATCCAATGAAGCTCATATTAAAAGCAACAAAACGTTCTTTCTTTTTTTTCTTTCCCCCAAGCATAAGCACAGACGAGAAAGGAAATCTCATTTTTTGAGCACCAGCTAGGCATTTTGGTGAGATCAGGTAATCTCTGAGGAGCCCCAGGTTTTCTATTTGCAAGCACACTTCAACGCATGCTTAATTCAAGTGCATGTGACAGTAGGATATGTACATCCAATTCGGGAAAGATGTTGCATGCTTTTTACTTTACCCATGTCAGCAGAGGTCTCACAGGCTACACAGACTGCAGAAAGTTAAAGATGTGCACGAGTTTTGACTGGATCGATGCCTAAGCAAGCAACTTTGCTTTCAACAGTTCAACCTAAATGACCCAATCCAAATTCCTTCAACCGCTTTCCTTTAAGTGGGAAACATTTTTGCATGTATGTCAAGGCAAAAATAATGTTTGCCTAGAAGCACCCAGCTTAACTTTTTATAAAATAAAATATTTGCTTTAATACTATATAATGCAATCGAGCCATTTTATTCAGCAAAAAGGAATGTAAATCAAAACTGCATTGTCACAGTTTAAAAATGTGACAGACACAAATTTGTTGGACACATTTCTGGTTTATAAATAAATGATGCTTTAAATTTAACTTTTAGGTTTTACTCCATTCTGAGTCACTCAAAGCCATGGCATCATATTCCAACATAATGAACTTAATTTGGTAAATTTTCTGTGTCCTGAACATTTGAGAAAAAACAAATCATCTATTTAGATTTATAAACACAGACTTGGAAACATAATTTGTACTTCATCTATTTTTTCAAGTTTGAATAAAGGATATTTCTTAGCAAGGAGGCAGAGTTTTCTAAATTGCTTAAATTCAGCTGCAGATGATATTCAGGGATAATTTGGTAAATCTGAAAAGTAGTTTACATTTCTTAAGGAAACTCACATGGATTAGTAAGCCTACATCATCTTCTACAAACAATTAGGGCAAAACTCCAGCTAGAAATCTGCAATGCAGAAAAGATGCTAAAAATCCCCAATAAAAAAAGAATTATCAGTATCAGGCCACGATTCTTTGTAAGACACGCTGACTATTTAAGGTCAATACCCAACTACTATTAAGCTTGCAATACAGCTGCTAACTTTGTGAAACGCTACATCTCTTAAGTCTGGTTGCGAAGTCTTTCCTTTTACTTCTGTAACAGCTGCCACACAGGCTTCCTAGTTTTAGGAAAGTGATAGAGGTTGATATTTTAACACTGGTTTTCCCTTATGTACAAAAGCAACTTATTTTAACAAGAAGAATATTAATATTTTCCTGCAGACCTAAACACATCTTAATACTTTTTATTTATTTATTTACAAGTAGCATCAATCAATGCAAGTGAGAGCGATCACAATTGTAAACATGAAGTCAGCCTGTATTTATAGGTCTGGATTCCAGGGTTTTAAGGAAGTGAATAAACAAACACAGAAACTTTCTTGGAGCACTTATTTAACTTTATAAAGTTAAAAAAAAAAGAACACAAAATATTATTTCATGTTCTCTTTATAGCTGACAAGTTGTTGATGTCTGGCTTGGTAAAGCTCAAACCCGAATGGTCCAAGTAAGCACTAAACCCACCCTAGTTCTTCTCAAAGGACCATTTGCCCAGCCCAGAGCACCCACCACCAGCGGGCAGATGCGGGTAAAAATACTGTCGAAAGGACACGTTAATTCAGGAGGTATCTACATCGATTTCCAAAGCCAGAAGTTGCCAGCCTGACCTGTGGGAATCATCCTGGACAGGGGAGAAAACCAAACTGGAACCATTTGAGTGCCGCTTCCCACGAGCCAGCCTGACCACAGCAGTGGTTTCTTGTTGACCTAAGCTTCAGAGCTCGGTCTACATGCGAAGCAAAGGATATAATAAACAGCACAGAGAAAAGGAAATATCTTCAAAGTTTTTGTTCTGCTAAATCAGCATTGTGGACCTCAGGCATGGGAAAATTCAAGCCAAGATAGGTTGACCGTTAAGAAGAGTTACAATTTTGAATACCACTAAAGAAGCAGGCAAAGGAAAATTTATACGACCACAAAATAAATGATGAGGATCGGTTTTTGGCAATGGTAGCACCAGTTCGGTTCCCATCAAATCAAATATTTGAGAAATGATAAATATTATATGTTACAATCTCAATCAGATTTTTTTTTTAAATTATGATTTATTCTGCTAAATCCACAATTGAGAGATCCATGTTTGATGCAACAAACCCAGGCTAGGCAGATTTATATTTTGGTTTAAATAATGTAATAGGACATGTCAATTTAAATAATTAATTTTAAACCCCGTTTGTTTTGCATTTCCACATCAGCTATTTTCTGAAAGATGTCGAGGTTCTCATTTACCAGTACCCACTAAAATGATGTCAATTTGCAACTTAACGTAACTTTTATATCAAATGTAATTAGCCTTTTTGCCATTCAGATGGGAAGGCTACATATTTAAGCGATTATACTTATAATACCAACATTTTGAGTAGAAAATAATGGAGGATGAGTATCATTTTCTAACACAAAAACCTGTTAAGAATTGGAACCTGAATACCTGTAAACTGAATTTGGTCACAAACAGAAATGTAACAAAAACATCCAAAAGCTGCAGGATGTTGTTCCAGTTACATTGTGCCAACTTAAATATGGTTACTGACCAGCAACAGGAGCTTTCCGGCTTTCGCACTATCTGCTGGTACTCTAAAACTGGGAGCCATAAGAAGCTGGACCCAGGGACTTTGTTTCCGGTATCAGTATTTGTGCCCCTGACCCTGCCTGGGAACCCTTAGTTCCCCTCAATCTACAAACAAAGAAAATAAAACTAACGAGGAGGAATGAAAACAGATGACTACACAGTTATCACATAGTATCTCAAAGAAATCCAGCTCTTGCACTGCCCTTCTGGTTTTGAAGGCCCCGGTGACCATCTACACCACAGGGGACTTGAAGCAGAACACCACACACAGATCATTACCTGGAAATCAGCCCTGAGGTCCTTGAGGCTAACGGAGATTTAACGCAGCTCTACCGAACACAGCACCATTTCTGGGTGCTTCGGTAATGCCATTGTCCCTAACGAATACCAATGAAACTCTGAATATCTGCTCTGCAGATAGCTGCAAACGCCGTTCAAGCTGGAAAGAGCTGGCTCCAACCAACAAAAGCATATCTGCTTTTTCATATTAGGTAGCAAGCTCCAACACATTCTGTTATCTAGCAGGATTATCTCCAAATAGAGAGAGATGCATCCATGTTTCACTGCAAGAAAAAACATCTCAGGGACTCTCTGGAAAGTCTGATGAGGTGACCATAAAAATTAAAGAGTCACTTGGCGTTCAGGAATGGAACAACTCCTCTGCTCTGAGGAAAGAAATCATTTGGATGGGCTTTCTTGATGGCTCTGAAATCTATCACACTGTCATCCAGACCTCTTTTTCCAGCAAGCCCCCAGAGTCTCAAAGAGGACATCCCACCCCAGCTGGGAGACTTCCACTCCCGATGGTCAAGGTGAATTGGCTGTGCTTGCGTAGGCACGCGGGGAGAGCTGCCACGTTACAGAGCGTGACTCTGCTTGAGATCACCCTTGTCTGTTGAGCGAACGAGCCCAGGGAAAATGAAAAGGTGGAACCCACAACTGGAAATGCTGGAGGCCAAGGCTGGTGCAGAGGATGACACAGGGTCTGGGAGTTGCGTGGCCTGGGAGAGCCAGGCTGGCTCCAACCCCTCCCACAGCACAAGCCCCCGCTGAGCCAGGAGGAGTTCAAAGGCAGCAAACCCATTCTGAAGGAGCAAGGCTTTGGCCAGCGCCAATTCAAGCATTGCCTCAGTTAATGCCGGGAACCAGACTCGTATCGCCCGTGACTCTGGCTGACGCACCAGAGACTGAGCGTACTACGTCCATACTAAGCCCAAGGAAAGGGGTGAACTGCTGCTCTGAGCCTCTCTGAGCTTAATCCATCATTTCCCCTCTCCAGCCCCACATCCGAAGCAACCAATCAGCACAGGTAAAGTATTTCTAAAAGCCCTGGCTACTGCTGACAACTCAAGAAGCATTATCCTGAATTACTAATGGGACCTGTATTGACTTTACACAGAACATAAAAACTGCCCATGAAACACTCCTGTGGCAATCAAAAAAATAGGCATTTTGCAAATTCAGAGGCTTATGCAAAGATCCCCTTGGTAAAAAGCCAGAGTGTGGTTGCCAAAAGTCAACAATGTGAATTTTTCAGATAAAGGAAACCTGACACCTTAGATTGCCTGCCATTGCATTCTGGTGTGGGTTTCAGAGAATAACCGCTGTGGAGTCTTTTCCCGTTGAGCCAGAAGAGATGGCTGGGGCTCCCCTGTGTCCAGCAACTCTCTCTCTTCAAAGGGAGCTGGAGTGAGCGAGTAGCTATCAAGATGCCAAACCACACTGCCTGGCTCTCACTGACAACCTCCAAAATTGGTGTGGCCAGTGGGACAGAAGACCAAGCACTGCTGAAATGAGCTAGCTGAATATCAAAAGGAGAAAAGGAACAGGCGTATAACCAAAGGGAGGAGGGACGACACTCAGAGGTGCCGACTGGGGTTGTAGGAGTTAAGTGGAAGTAGATGAGGCCGATACATTGTGGCAATGGAAATAATTTTTTTTTTCCCCGATGAGCACTGCCAGTAATAGACATAAAGGTGCAAACAGCAAGGAAAGCTGTGACCTTGGCTTCATTTCATAGGAATAGGAGCCAAATATTACACCAGGAGGCTGGTGACCATGCAAAGAATGGCACCTGCCAACTAATACGCCTGTTTCCTCCCCAAAGTCCAATAGCTGCTGATCCCTGTTCTTCAGA